CCCCCAATCCTCCGCTACGCCTTCAGCCAGTGGAATGCGCTGTTTATTTTGCGAGCAGGGCCGCGATTGACAGATTTAATGCAGCAGCCGTGTCCAAATATTGGGAATGTATAAAGTTCCCCTCGCTTTATTTTTACTGGGTGCGTAAACTATGCCGCCAAGGGCCCCCCGTGGAAGTAAAGGAGTTAATGACGCAGGGAATCCAAACAGCGTAAGCCCAGAACCCGGCCCGTAAAAAACGTCCGCGTCCGCCCATACCGCACGCTCACCTGCCCGTTTTAAGGCCGGCCGCGGGAGGTGAGATGTATGGCGCGGTGGAAGGCCGCACGTGCGCCGGTTTACTGGCTCAGGAAATTTCAGCCATTCCTAGGCGCCAGTCAAGCGGTCAGCGGACCCCGCGGCGGTCTGGGTGCTGTCCGGGAACCCGCTGCGGCCAAAGGGCCCGTTCATTAATGCTTGGCGCTGCTTGGCCGCTGCCTGGGACGAGGCCAGAACAATCCGTTCCCTTTATTTGCCGCTGAGAAGGTCCACGCTCATCCTGCTGGGGGATATGAGCAGGATCTGATGGTGTGTGGCCCATATTCGGTGTATGTTTCATTATCTTCCTTCTTCGGCCATCGGGCTTAGCCGCCATCGGGGTCTGTGGTTTGGCGCCACCCTCATTTCATTGTTTGAAGGTTATTTCAGGCTCTAATGCAGAGGAACCCCTAAAATACTGACAGCGGCATAATGCCCCTTACATTTGGGGGTCAGTGGGTGGAATGTTCCTTACATTGGTGGTCAGTGGGGGAAATGCTCCTTACATTGGGGGTCAGTGGGAAGAATGCTCCTTACATTGGTGGTCAGTGGGAAGAATGCTCCTTACATTGGTGGTCAGTGGGAAGAATGCTCCTTACATTGGTGGTCAGAGAGTAGAATGCTCCTTACATTGGGGGTCAGAGAGTAGAATGCTCCTCACATTTGTGGTCAGAGAGTAGAATGCTCCTTACATTGTTGGTCAGTGGGAAGAATGCTCCTCACATTGGTGGTCAGAGAGTAGAATGCCCCTCACATTGGTGGTCAGAGAGTAGAATGCTCCTCACATTGGTGGTCAGAGAGTAGAATGCTCCTCACATTGGTGGTCAGAGAGTAGAATGCCCGCCTTACAGACAGCTAAAACCATGATTGGTGTCAGGCTACTGGCTTTGCCGAGTGATATTGGCCCTGGAGGTATGGAGGCACCACCACATGGGAGGTCAATCAGCCACAGCTCAAGGAACTCTTACTAACTCCTGGAGGAACCCCGGCTGGGAAAGGATGCTCTGATAGTTGATTACAAAGAGGTGACCCGTGGGGCCGAGATTCCCCAGCATACTGGAAAATAGCTGTTCCACCTGAGCCAGAAGAAGGCCTCTCATGAGCTACGGGTGCTCGGTGGCGGGTTCCATGAAGGGTCATTCAGACCGGGTCCCCTGCTGATGAGAGTGAAGAGACCACGCACAGAGATAACACTTCCAATCCCACCGGGTGTAGCGGGCAGTTGGAGGCGTGGGGTATCATTGAACAGATTTTGGGCCCGGGGGCAGTAGAGTTACAATGTTGGAGAATTTGCTTACTTTGACTTCTCCGTTTCCTATCCCACCCTTAGAAGAAGAGTGGAATAATTGGCACCTTGGTCTCCTTGTTGATACAACGTGTTCTGTACACAGCCGTGTGTTTGTGTTACTGGTTCTGATGGAAAACACTGGAAGGGGTGACGTGTCCG